CATGATCACGAACATAATGAATTTGGTATTCACGTAGGGATTACATAGAACCGACTGCTTCCAAGCACACTATTTTCTTGCAGTTCCTCAACCTTTTATCAAATTGTTTCCAAAACGCCTCAGGCATTCAAATACAAGCTGATCCTCAGTGGATGGTCAGATGCCTGGGCACACCCGCATTTGCATTTTATATACTGCACCAGAGTAGCTTCCATGTTCACCTGTGATTTTGCAATCATACCTCGTTAGCTGTGTAATTGTATGATCAAGATGTTATGTTTGCTTATAGCACATATGTCAGGATGTTTGAAAACTATGATTGCTGGGTATGCACGTTACAAGCTAAATGGAAACCATCTCAAGTGTTCTACAGAAACAAATCTAACATTGCCTCTCATTTCACTATTAAGGCTGTTTTACGGTTTAAACTTATCCTCTATGTTACTATGTTAGAGGCAGCTAGGTGGGACAGTGGATGGAGCACTGGGCCTGGAGTCATGAAAGAAGACCTGAGTTCAAATACGGCCTCAGACATTCACAAGGTACATGATCCTGGGCAAGTCACTTAACCTACATCTGCCTTAGTTTCCTCAACTGTAAAATAGGAATAATAATAGCACCTACTCAACAAAGTTATGAGAATCAAATGAGATAATATTTGTTAAGTGTCTGGCACACAGTAGGCACTTAATAAATGCTTATTACATTCCACTTTCCCCATCTTCCTTCTGGTGGACTTTCAAATGAACTCACTGGCAACATTAGTCAATTATAGTAGTGTATCTGAGAGTGTATCTGATGTGCCAGTTATAAAAGAGAAGAAAGTAATTTCTGAAGAGATTCTTTCCTTAACAAAGGTTAGTTTCTATATAAATGTTGTTAAAAACAAAGCCATATGTGCAACTGAACTTTAAGTGCATTTACTGTTCAATATAGTGCTTGTCATTAGCCAATAGAAAAGTAAATATTTTATATCAGCTAGTTATTCATTTTAATTGGTTGTTTAGGTGGCTAAAAATAATGAATTTTCACCTTTTCATTAAGAATTTGTAAAATTCTCCTACCATTTTCCACCACCTGTAATATGAACAAGCATTTTCACTTTATTCTTGTTTTAAATCAAAGTAAAGAAATAAAGTAGATGTGGAACGAAATTTAATAAGACTATATTTGTCTGGTGTTGAGCCTAGTATTGTAAACCTTTGTTCAGATAAAAAAGTTTTGTTATCAAAATTGTTTATATGTGGTTATTATATTATAATATCTTCCCAAGTTATAACTTAGTTCATTAAAACATTTATATTCAACAACAGTTGTGAAATAAATTTAATGTGAAATCTTGCAATAGTAAACATGAGGTCTTGCTGGATTATTTCTTTTAATTCTTACAGAGTATCCCATATAAAATGTTTGTAACTATTTTCTAATTAGAACTTTATAATTTTATATTTTATATATTTACATACAAGTTGAACAAAATTTTGCAGTTATAATTATATATAACAAATTTTAATTTGGAGCTCTTGGGGGCAAAAGTGATCTATATATAGTTATTTTAAGCATGTAAATAAATCTAAGAGAATATTACAAGTGGTGTATTCAATCCCTGGGAGGGTCAAATTTTTTCTTTTTGCTGTTGAAAGGAACAGAAAATGTTGGGACTGATTGTTTCAGGGGGACTAATTCTAACAGTCCTCCAAATTTATACAAAAATCAACAATTAGGCAGGGTTGTCCTAAGAGGGTGAGGATATCCTAATACAGGCAAGGTAGAAGTATCCTTACTGCCCTGGTTCTAAATCTTCTGATGGAATTTTACTAATACCATTGTGTGTTAACCATGAACCATCTTGGTGACCCCATGTTTCAAAAGCCAGATCTAAATTTCCATATAGGAAAGGGTATCATCATCATTTGCCTATCTATCATGGCAGTGGTGACATCGTACCTCCTTGCATCATGTTCAGACCACTTACTTATGTGGACAGCTTCTGGGACTGCCTCTCTCTCTCTCTCAAACTTCACCAACTGATTTGCCCAGGTGTGTATAGTGAATGGTCTGGGCTGGGAAAGGCCCATAGTTAAACTCTGACCCGATTCTGGTGAGGCTGCCCCCAAAAGGCAGGATCTAATTGTATTTGAAGCAAGCTGGTAATGAGGTATTAATAAGGAGTCCTAGGATTCCTTATATATTCCTAGGAAGGAAACATAAATCCAGCCCCCCAAACCCATTTCTTTTAAAAATTCGTATTTATAGAGCCAAAGTGTACAGAACCCTCTATAAAGGACAATCTCCATCTAGAGCTTTCCATTGATTCAGCTGAATATAAGAGATGTAACTCTCCTGGACAATGGACCTGATAAAAATCTGAACCGTCCTCTGATCAGCCATTGTTTGCTCACTGTCCATCAATCCTCTGCCTCCAGAGGAAGAGACTCCTTGGGAAGACAAGGGGAGAAGGGGAGTAGTAGCAGGATAAGATATCTCAACATGAGTTCTAGTTCCCACTCCTACTCCTACACCTAGTCTTCTCATAAGCCTAATCTTGGCAGGGTCTGACACATTCTCCAGAGAAATCTCCAGGGCAGTGATCATGCATCCCATCCACAGCCTACTAGTCCCTACCTCCATGAGAACACTTTTTTTACTGATCCACTGACCACTCCTCTGCCCTCAAGGTCCACATTTTTTTAAAGATCAAAAGCTTATTTAATTTAATTTCAATTGCCTGATTTTGCTGTTTGCTGTTGGTCAGTCACGTCTGACTCTTAGTGAGGTTTTCTTGGCAAAGCTACTGGAATGGTTTATCATTTCCTTCACCAGCTCATTTTACAGATGAGGAAATTATGGCAGTGACTTGCCCAGAGTCACACAGCCAATGTCTGAGGCTGGATTTGAACTCAGGTCTTCCTGACTCCAGGCACTACACTCTACCTCGCTGCCCAATTGCCTAATACTATTAATAAAAGCTAGAGAATATTTTTGCTATCCCTATCAAAACCCTCAAGCATGTAACAGACCAATCCCACAGGATGAATGGGAACATTCTCCTTATCCCACTGACAGGGTTCCCCTCAGACAATGCTTTTACTTCAGAAAGCCAAAATACTCTATCTGGCCATCCCATCAACCAAGACTCCCTGTCTGTCACAACATCCTTTCTTCCACTTAAAAATGAATTTAATCATTAACTACACAAAATATTTTGGCCCAGGCCAAACCCAGGCCACAAGTAATTCAGATTTCAGCGATGAAATGTATTGAGACACCTGTGGACCATAAAATGAAATAAAAAATAACTTTACAAGTTAAAAATGGGCATTAACTCCAATAAAATTCTATTCTCCCTTTCATCCCCAAAACCACCAGGTCAGGAAGGCTTTCTACAGAGCCCACTTCCCTTGTGTTGAGCAGTAAGGAAGTCAAATAGCCTGCCTTAAGGATCAACCCTGCATACCCTACAGGAGCTACTGTCTGGGATGCTGACTACTGGATCAGGTGGAGAGCAAGGGGCCAGGAGTGAAGAAGAAACAGAAAAGAGAGTATCCAAAAGGAGAAGGTAATCAACACTGTCAAATGCAGCAGAGGAATTAAAAGGAATCAGGACTGAGAAAAGCCTATTATTGGATTTGACACTTCAAAGTCCTGCATGCTGCCAGAGGAAGACAAAATTCTGTCAGCCTGTCTCATTCATCCATGCTGTCCTGTTTCATCTGTGATATAACTGAGCAACACTACTACTCATCTCACTGACTTTATAGAATACCTCTCTTCTCATTCCCAATCTCCCAACTGCTCCTCTCTCCTTGGGGCCACTACCCCACGCACCATTCTGGGTAAGGTGACCTTGCTTCCCAGGACTTCTTTTTGAATACAAATTCCTTGTTATAGCTTCCATTTTCCCACAGTTATCTTCCTTGGGGTGTCCAATCCATTTCACTCAACCCTTTACCCTTCCCCCCTCACATCTGATTCCCTGCCCAGTCACATTCAATGGTTGGTAATCACTAAGATGGAAAAAGTGCTTTCCTCACAACAAAAGTATGAGGTGGGCGGTGCGTGTCTTATCTCCATTTTTATCCTTAAGGAAATTGAGGCTCTGAAAGGCTAAACTATTTACTCAAAGCCACACAAATAATGCCAAGATACAATCTTCGATCTCTTGACTCTGTTGAAAAGCTATTTCAGTGCTGCCCATATGAAATATTTGCCCTCCACGTTTAGATTTGCATATTTAGATTTTAAGACGTTCATTCACCCTACCAAGACCTTGGATCTGTAATGAAGGATCTGCAACAGCAGGTGGTGGGGCCTCTGTCAGTGCCCAAACTCCGATACTAGGATTCAGCCATGTTTACTCCTCATATCCTGGTTATATGTTTTTGATTATCATCATTATCTCAAGCTTCCAGGTTAGGCTACTTAAGGTGCGAGAACAATCTTTCTAAGTATCAAAGCCTTGCTTTTGTGGCTGTATCCGTCCCCTTTTCTTCCAGTTCCTCTGGACCTCCTAATTTCTGTACACCTGCCTTTCTTTGTTTGAATACCTCCTGCAGATTTTTTGATTGCTATATATTTGTAAACATTTCAGATAAGCTGTCTGGGCCAGTCCTGTTGTACTTACTGATTTCTATTTCTTATGTTGCCCAAATATTTTTGTGTCATCCTCATTCTGACAACTCATCCAGTTCCTTTGGCCCAGTGGTTAACTGAAAATGCAATTACAACTATTAACTTTCTAAAGTAAAAAACTGTATGTGTTTATGTATGTTATATACGTGCAATATATATTAAAACACACAAATATAAAGAAAACATATACATACATGTATACACGTGAACTCCTCCTCCAATGCCTTATTACAGCATGGGGTGACTCTGGAGTCTCAAAACCTGTACTAGCATAGCATAAGCTCTCATAGGCCCTACACCAAGCTGGAAAATCTTTAAGTGAATGATTATCTGTCATCCAAGGGCAGCATAAGTAAGTTCAAAGATGCTTATCAGCAAGGTTACAGATTTATTAACATGCCTACAGGGTTATATATTTTTTTGGCCACAGCAACTCTAGAAGACCATCTACAAAGTTGAGAGGTTGCAATCTTATCAGTGAAGAGGTTGAGGTTGTATTGTGTATCAATAAAGGGAGTACCCATACTAATGAAACTGCAGATACTTGAAGTATATAACAATTAAAACAGTTAAACACAAAAACTTTAAAGACTACAATATTTAGAGATGAAATATGTAGAACAAGCTTTAAAGGGGAAAAAAGGCAACTTAGGTACAATTCATTATCTTTTTTTATTAATCCTTATCTATTACAAATCACCTTTGAATCTAACCCTGTTTTATCCCCAAACCTAATCAGAAAGCTTCTTTCCAACTCACCCTGGATCTTAGTGTCAGATCTATCCTGAAGTGAGTACATGGTTCCCAGATTTCAGGCCACTAAAACTTAGGTTTTTTCCTTAGTCATTATTAACTACATTGAGAATCCTGTGACTACCATAGTTATAGGATATGACTGAGTCATATAGTCATGACTATTTTGAACAACCAGTGGCTTCTCCATTTTCCTGCTGTATATTTTTCTAGTCTTTCTAACATTCAAGTGGCATGATGAAGAAACTGCAGCCTTTATGTCTGTATCTCTTCTCCCTGTTTACTTTATTTTCCTCTGTCCTAATGAGGAAATATGCAAAACATAGCTATGTCTGAGAAACAAATCCTTTCTGGCCAAACCTTATTCTTGAAGGATTGGCCCTACTTCTTCTCAACAGGTATTTTCAGCTGCTAGCTAAGGTCTTCTAGCAATTTCCAGGCAATGGTGCCCTTACCAACTGCTACACTAATACTCAGGGAAGATAAAGTACCACAGAAGAAATAGGAGAAAGGCCAAAATCTCAAAGGTGTGGTTTAAAGTGAAATAAAACTTGATTCCCTTGAGTGGTAGCCAGAAGTCATTCCGTTTGGGGGTTGCCTTAAGCTCTTAATAATTCTTCATTGATTCCCCATCCTAATTTCTACAGGAACTATAAAAGTATGGGGACTGTGTGTATATGTTGGGGAAAAATGGAGGGCAGGTAGGGTGTTTAAGGCCTCTCTGCTTCTGTCTACTATGGATCAGGTCTACAGGCCTTCTAAGAGCCATCAACCAGAAAAATAATTATTTTCTGCTCAGTCTTTGTTTCTGGGAATGTTCTGTTCTAGCTCTCACGTAGTACTTATTATTGTGACTGAAGTGGAAGCTACCACTTAAATTTTTCTTAGATTTATTATGCTGTAGAGTTTTTCCCCAGGGGCCCCTCTTTGACATTTAATAAGGAATAAGCAAATTCTGAGTTTTCCCCATATCTGCCATGTTTTTCTCCCTTTGGCATGTGTACTCTCTGGTGCTGAGAAAGATTTGACTTAGTACAGAAAGCTTTCTCACATTTACTACAATGATAAGGCTTCTCCTTAGAGTGAATCCTCTGATGTTTAATAAGATTTGAACTATGACTGAAGGTTTTCCCACATTCGTTACATTTATAGGGTCTCTCTCCAGTGTGAAGTCTCTGGTGTGAAATAAGACCTGCTTGCTGACTAAAGCTTTTCCCACATTGATTACATTGGTATGGTTTCTCTCCAGTGTGGATTCTATGATGCTGAATGAGGCTGGCTTTGCTTCTGAAGGTTTTCTCACATTCTTTACATTTATAGGGTGTCTCCCCGGTGTGAATTCTCTGATGTTTACTAAAGTCTGGGCTATTACTGAAGGTTTTCCCGCACTCCACACATTTATAGCATCTCTCTCCTGGGCAGAGTTTACTATGGATTAAATTTGAGGCTTCCTTTGACCCAGTCTCTTGGAAAGAGTATTTCCTTGTTCTTTCTCCTATAGGTTTTTCCCATTGCCTTTGTAATGTACTCTCATGGTCATGTGCCTCTCTGTATTTGGTTTTCTCAGCAACATCACCTATGAATCTTCCTGATACCACTGCTGGAGGTTCTACTTTGGATATTTCATTTTTAGGTGTTGACTCTTCATTCTGAAGCTTGGACTGACAATCTGAAACAATAAATAGAATAGGCACATGTCAGTTCTCTGTGCTGGAAGAAGATAACTAATGGACTTTGCCCTCCTCTAATTTGAAAGGTATTTAGGTTCAGCTTAATTATTGTCAGTCACAATAAAAAGAACACATATAAATCACCACTAAAATCTAATGATCTTGGTGCAACTACAAACTCAAGTTTCTGAATTTATGTGTACACAAGGTCTTCATTATCCAAGCATAGCTGGTACCAGAAAAAGGCCAAAAAGTAAATGTCCTTAAAATGAAGACCAACACTTCAGAAGTAAGTAGTAAAAAGCTTTGATGGCAACTTTGTCAGGAAAAATGAAACAAAAAAATTAAGAAAATAAGTTTATTTTTTATTTTAGGTTTAATAAAATTTAAGTTATAAGTAGAACCATGTATGAGTTCTCTAAATGAATTAATGATGTATCAGGTGTTGCTTTTGAGGGGGGACAAGTTTTATGATAGCATAATACAACATCTTTCATGTTTGACTTTTGCAAAAGGATCACAAAGAGAGCCCCGGTTACAAAAACATTCAAGTGCTTCACCAATTTTCCCAAGAGCCTTTCTTAATGTTTGTTATTCAAATAAGTCTCTTTTGAAGTATCTACTGACAATGAGTAAAGAGATTTTACCCATAAAAGATGCTGACATAATGGGTGGTGATAGAAGCCAGTATTAAGTGGGTGGTAATGTATGAGTGGGAATAATTTTTATAACTGGTTAATGAATTCAACAGTGAATTTTTTAAAAAGTATGACCACTTTCAATTCTCTATGTAACTTCTTAGAAAATAATGGATAGGGAAAGGCCTCAGAGTGAGGAAGGTCAGGATTAAAGCCCCACCTATGACATATACAGGCAAATCTCTTAATCTTTCAGTACCCCCAGCCAACTATCTAAGATTTTAAGTCAAAGAATAGTTGCCCATATGCACTGGAAGAAGGAGCTTCCTCATTAGCAATTCACTACACCTATGAAGTCATAGGTCCATATGAAAACAAAAAGCACCCTAACAGAGCATGGTATAGAAGTAATTTTGTATGACTACATAACTGATATTAAGGAGAAAAGATGATGGGGCCAAGCAACAGGGCAGGGAGGGTAAATTGTGTTTGTGAAGGGGTCAGAAAAGAAGGCAAAAGCAAGGATAAGAGAATAAAAAGGGTAAAATGAATAAATGCAGGACAAAGTAACAATTCTATTTTTAAAATCCCCAACCTAAGGCCTATTTGTTTGGACGAAGACACTAATTCCCATGAGGTTTTAGTCATCAAGTCTGTCTCCTTGTTATACTTAGAAATCAAGTAATTGAGAAAAAAATGGGGGGAGATCTGATTATACCAATTATTCCTTGAAACAAGAAGCCCACAAAGAAACCACTTTGAATTCTGTTTCAAAACCTTGTTATGTTCTGTTTAAATGTTTTGTGATTAGGGAAGGAGAAAGGTGTGTTTTGGTGAACTTAGATGGCTGAGTAATCTGAAAACAACGTAGGGAAAAACTCCCTACACAATAAGAAAACCATCTAACAATATATACTACAACAAGCTTAAAATGGATACTAGTGAATATTAAAGGTCGTGCCATTAAAAAAAAAAGTAATAGAACCAGATCAGAATCTTTTCACTGCTGTTAGAATTCTTAACTAAAGGGGCAGCTAGGTGGTGCAGTGGTAGAGCACCAGCCCTGGATTCAGGAGGACCTGAGTTTAAATCTGACCTCAGACACATAACACTTACTAGCTGTGTGACCCTAGGCAAGTCACTGAACCCCAATGCCTAAACAAAAAAACAAAAAAAAAGTTTACCCCCCCCCCAAAAAGAATTCTTAACTAAAGAAGGGATGCAAAGGGATCACAAAAAATAAAATAGATTACTTTGATTACATGAAATTAAAAAGCTTTTGCATGAATAAAATCAGTGTAAAATCTTATCAATTAGGATAAGGAAAGGAGGGAGGGCAGGGAAGGATTTATATAGAGTGTGCTACTACATGCTAAGCACTGTGCTAAGTGCTTTCTAAATATTATCTAATTTGATCTTCATAACAACCCCTGGGAAGCAGGTACTATTAATATCTCCATTTTACAGTTGAGAAAATGGAGGCAAACTGTGACTAGCCCAGGGTCAAAAAGCTAATAAGTATCTGAGGTCAAATTTGAACTCAGGTTTTCCTGACTCCAGACCTAGTGCTTCATGCACTTCACAACCTAGCTGCTTTAGAATAAAAAGGTAAATTGTCAAATGAGAAAAAATCTGCATCAAATACTGCTGACTACAGCCTGATATGCAAGAAATATGAGACTAACACAAAAATGTAAAACAAAGAATTGTTCCCCAATAGATAAGTGGTCAGAGGACAAAGAGAACAAAGTCTCAAAAGATTTGTAAGCTATTAATGACTATATACAAAATAAAAAGAAATCAATAATAAGAAGAAGAATGCATATCAAAACAGCTCTTCAGATTCAGGAAACTGGCAAAGATGACAAGATGGGAATGGTCTATGTTGGAAGGGCTGTGAAAAGAAAGGCACGCTAATACACTACTGGTCCAACTATTATGGAAAGCAAGTTGAAATTATGCCAACAAAATATTTACAGTAACACTTTTTGTGGTAGTAAAGAATTGGAAACAAAGTAGATAGAAATGATGTATATAAGATTATAAGAGACTAAGAAGATCTGATCTGATATGATACAAAGTGAATGAAGTAAGCAAAACCAGAAAAAAAAATATACACTATGATCACAACAATGTAAATGGGAAGAAGAAAAATTAAAAAATCCAACTGAATACAGTATAATTATAATGATCCAATTTGGCCCTAAAAAGAGAAGAGAAAACATACTTCCCTGGCCTTCTTTGCAGAGTATAAGTTATTATGAATATTGAAATTATGAGTATGAAACTTTACATATATTGTCAGACTTGGTTGCCATGTTAGTTTTGCCGAGTTGCTTGCTTTCCTTCCCTTTCTTTCTTAATCTGATAACAATAAATAATTCTCTGTGTAAGGGAGGGAGGATGGACATATCTGGAAATGAAGATAGTATAAAAACAAAGCATATAAATGAAAGGGGTTTTTTTGGGAAGAAAAATAATAAAGCAGGATAGGTCAGAGACACATCCATGATAGTTATTAAGAGACCAAACCAGTGCAGATTAGGAATAGCACTGTTCTAGATTTAAAAAAAAAACAAAAGAAATGGTTGGCTGGTTAAGAAACCTTTTCTGGGGAGGAAATCCAAGCACAGCAGCTCATTTACTCAGTGAAAGGATGCAGTGCATAACTGGAATCTCTCTTTTAGCAATTGTGGCTCAGAAAGGCAAATGTCTTCCTCACAGGAGGAGACAGAAAAAGAAATTAGCTAGTTAAGAAATAAAAATGCTGAGTATCATCAGCCAAATTGAAAGCCTAGCTTAAGGCCAGGATACTGGCTGAAGGCGGTGCTTTGGGTTAACCCCCCATGCTCTCACAAGACCAACTGGGGCTACTTTAAGCTGACAAACAACAAAGCAGACCTGGGCAGTTTGAGTTGACTTTGCCATCAGAGAGCTTGGTCTGGGATAGCTATTCATTCTTTGGCTAAGGAGGATATAAAAATAATTTTAGGACTTCGGCAGGAAGCTCTTGAGACCCCACAAACTTCCTTACTAATTGCTGTTATCTTTCTGTAGTGAGGGCTATTGGAAATGTGTTTATTAAAAGGAACTGTTTATCTGAACCCTTGAGCTCTGAGTGACCCATTGCACTAGATGTGGAACCATGACCAGGTCAATGTCCACAGAAATTTAAAAACACTCAAAAACCAAGTTAAGGCCTCTAACAGATAAAAGGCTCCTAGGATTCTCACTTCTGGTAAAGTTGTTAAAAATTAAAAAGTTATACAAAAAAGCATTTTTTAAGAAGGAAGCGGTCCAGAGTAAGTTATTTCTTACTCAAGCATGGAACTAGAACTAGGTTAAAATTAAAGCAGGGCTTAAAAATAATGAATGATTAATGGGAAAGGTATGGAATTATGTCTAGGTATAGTATAATGGCATATCCTATTTAAACAGAATTTCTATGCTTATTTGTTATATATTTTATGGACTTACTAATTTTTATGTGTTTTAATAATTTTTATAAAAATTACCAAACTCCCTGTGATCTCGTAGAAAGAGCATTGGCCTAAGAGACAGTGAACTTGGGTTCTTGTCCTAGATTAGCCACCAACTAGCTCTCTGACTTCAGGCAAATCACAATCTCTCTAAACCTATTTCCTGAACTACAAAACAAAATCTCACAAGGGTATTGTATTTTGCAACTTAAGTATTTTGTAAAGTATAAAGTGCTATATAAATATAAGATGATGATGACTATTGTAAACTATGCCTAAGGAAAATCTTATTGTCCAATTAATTAATTAGAAAACAATGAAATACCTATTAAGTGTCAGGTACTATGCTAGGTTCTAGGCATACGCAGACAAAAAGATAATACTCCCAACCTCTAAGAACCACCCATAAGAATGAGTGTGTGTGTGTGTGTGTGTGTGTGTGTGTGTGTGTGTGTGTGTGTGTGTGTGTGTGTGTGTTGGGGGAGGGAAGAAGAGGGAAGTGGTTACTATCAGTTGGGAAGACTTTGAAAGGCCTTTGAGGCAACAAACCTTGATGGAAAAAGCAAAGAGACAGGAGACAGAATATCATGTACAGAGAATAGCAAGTAGCCCAATTTGGCTGCATACAAGAAAACAATGTGTAATAATCCTGGGAAATTCAGCTGGGGAAGATTGTGAAGGGCTCTAGAAGTGAAACAGATGAGTTCATATTTTATCCCAGAGGCCACAGGAAGCCACTGAAGCTTCTTGGATAGGGAAATGACAGAGTCAGATATATCTTTAGGATATCACTTTGGTAGCTATGAAGAGGGCCCAGGACCGAGTCTTGGGATATATCTAGAGTGTTGTTATGGATAATGACCCAGCAAGGACTAAGAAAGGATGACCAGACTAGTAGAACAGTACTACAGTATCACAATAATATCATAAAGACCAAGAGTGAGTCATCATAAGCTCAAAGACTAGAAGGGACATTGGAAGCCTTCCAGTCTAACCTCCTTAATTTATATTGAGAAAACTAAGGCTTGAGTATGCAGAAGAAGAGATCAACAGTGTCAGTTACTATAGGGAAGACAAGAAGACTGAGAACTAAGAAAAAGGTCACTGGATAAAAACAGTGGTGATTTTTGTGGATTTATTTTTTTAATTATTCCTTTACTGAAATTACTGTTTCAATGAATTTATTTGCTGATTCTCTGGGATTTCCTAAGCAAGCTACCATGCATTCAACAAATAAAGAGTTTTGTCTGCTTTTTGCCTTTAATTTCTTTCTCTTGTCTTATTACTATAGCTAACATTTCTAGAACTATGTCAAATAACAGTGCAGAAAAGGTGCATCCCTGCTTTATTCCTGCATTTATTAAGAAAGATTTTAGTGTGTTCTCACTGCAAATAACACCAGCTTTTGGTTTAAGATATGTATTTTTTCTGTCATATTAAAAAGTGGTCCTTCTATGCCTATGTTTTGTTAGTTTTTTTTTTAACATAAACGAGTGTTACACTCTAACATAATTGTATGGTTCTGAGTAGTATATGTTTTATTTTCATTTTTATTAGGAACTTGAGAAATATCAATAAACATAGACATCTCTGTTTTGTTTTTAACATATTAAATGTGTTCATTAATGTTGTCTTCCTAATGTTAAACTACATTTGTATCCTGAAGATTCAATTTGTCATTGTTCATTTAGTTGTGTCCTCATTTGGGGTTCTCTTGGCACAGAGCAGTTTGCCATTTCCTTCTCCAGATTATTTTAAAGATGAGGAAACTGAAGCAAAAACAGTGTTAAGTGACTTCCCCAGGGTCACACAGCTAGTGTGTGATTTGATTTCAGGAAGATGAATTTTCCTGACTCCAGGCTGTGGCACTCTATCCACTGTGCCACCTAGCTGCCCAACCTGAAGATAAATCCAACTTAATTTTATGAAATAATTTTTCATGTTACTATAGTCTGTTAGCCAGGATTTTATTTCAAATTTTAAATTGATATTCATTAGCAATATTAATCTGTATTTATCTTTATTTACTTTATCCTATCCTTGGTCTAGGTATCAGGAGCACATCTTTCTCATAAAAGAATCAAAGATTAAGAAATGGAAGGTAACTCTGAGTCATCTAGTCCAACCCCCTTATTTTTACAGTTAAAGAAAACTGAAGTAGTGTGCATTATTTTACAATTTTAAGACTAAAGTTATTAATTATTCTTTAAACACTTGATAGAATTCACTTATAAATCAATCTAGATGAGGAAGTTTTTTCTTGGATAGTTAGTTCTTTCACAGGTAGTTTGAATTCTTTTTTTCTGAAAATGAATTAAGATTTGTATTTCTTGTTCTGTTCATTTGGGCATTTTATATATATATATTTTAAAGATATTTCTCTTTTAAAATTTTAATTTTCCTGGGATATAATTATGGATAATAGACTCTGAAAATCCTTTCTACTTTTTGTTTATGATTTCACCTTGTTCTTCTATTGTTTTAGTAATTTGATTTTTCTCCCTCTTTTCTTTAACAATATCTTAGAGTTAATTTACAACATACACTTCAATACATATATATATATATATATATGCATACATATATATATAGTTATAAATACTTCTCAAAGAAACAGTGAACAATTTAAATAACTGGAGGGGATAGTAAGTGCTCATGACTAAGTCTTGCCAACGTAATACAAAGAATGATGAACCTACTTTAATAAATTTATGGATTTTGTGCTATACTACTCAAGCTACCATGGGGATACTTAAGAAAGCTAGACATAATTATAACAACAATTTATTCAGAGGAACAAAAGGTTTAGAACCTCTTGAGAAACAGTAAAAAAAAGTAGTAATCGGGGAATAGCATTTTCAGACCTCATATTATACTATAAAGCAATATTCGTTAAAATTATTTGGTACTGGCTTAAAAATAGCAAAGATCAATGAGAACAGGCTAGATAAAGAATTAGAAACAATTGTATTCAATGACCTAGTTCAATAAACTTATTTAGGAAAGAATTTCCTATTTGACAATAACTGCTGGGAAAATCAAAAAGCAGTTTGGAAGAAATTAGGTTTGAAGAAGAGGCTAACTGGATTTAGTAATTAAGAAATCACTGGAGGGGCAGCTAGGTGGCGCAGTGGATAGAGAACTGGCCCTGGATTCAGGAGGACCTGAGTTCAAAGCCAGCCTCAGACACATAACACTTACTAGCTGTGTGACCCTGGGCAAGTCACTTAACCTCATTACCTAGCCAAAAAAACAAAAACAAAAACAAACAAACAAAGAAATCACTGGAGAGGTCAATTTCAGCTAAGTGATGAGACTGGAATCCCAACTGCAAGAGTTTGAAAAGTGTTGCGATCAAAGCACTACTATCTACCAGGTAGGGATAGGTAGCTAAAAAGTGAAACAGTTATGCCTCAGAGGTTGTGCCAAGATAGAGGCATGAGCAATCTTGCAAGCCTATTTAAGAGATGTCAGGATTTCTAAGCTCCTTATACACTCTGAAAGATAAGACAGAAAAGCTCCTGGGGGACTGGGTAGCCCAAAATAGAGTTTGCATAGCATTGTATGACTAGGTTTGTAATGCTACTAAGGGGAAATAAACATATGATGTGTTAACATACCAGAATTTATAAAGTAATAACAAATCTTGGATATTTGTGTTATAGTCCTTAGATTTTTAAATAGAAAGAAACTGTGTAATAGCATCAGCAAGATCCAATCAGTGTTTCTTTCGTAACGTATTTCACTAAGTGAATGTACCTCTTGGTGTGCAACTGCAATTCCCTTTGAACACATGACTCTTCATCCCTCAAAGTACATGGGACTGTTATATAAGCATACAGTACACCTTCTTTAAGTAATAAATCATTACATCTCTCCTTGAAATCATTCGACTCACTCAAACACCATCAGTTAGTGACACACATACCCCACTCCTGCCTAAAATAATCACTGGCACTTTTGGAATCTTTTAAGTCCCTCTTTCCTGATGAGCAGAATCCCTATATTCTCTCACTGTTACCACTGCTGCCTATAAAGCACACCTTTCTTTATTTCTACATAACTTTCTAGTATCTCCAGCCTGTTTGTTCCCTAGCAAAAATAAGTATAATAACTATCTCCAGACCCTACTCAACCTACTCCTTGCTAGGAGCTAAAATCCCACAAGCAGCTTCCTTGGTCACTTCCAAAATTTTCCAGTACTGAAGTTTATTATTCCATCCTTTTGTAATTGTCTGACATGTGAACATCTTGTTTTATCAACTAGATAAAAATTCCTTGAAAGCACAAAACATATCTTATACTTTTTTTTTTTGTATCCCCTACAGTGCTGGGCAAACATTAGGCCTCAAGTACCTGTTCACCCACTCTAAACTAACCACCTTGGCAAAACAATCCACCCTTCCCTCCCTTCAGATGAATCTCTTTCTTACCAATCTTTTGGAGAGGGTGAGGATCCACAGATTCACATTTCAGCTGAGTCTCCATGGCCTGAACCCGAATGCTTGGTGACTTCTTCAATGTCACTGGAGCTGGGAACAGGGGTGTCACTCCTTCCCAGAGCAATGCTTGTTCTTGTGTATGGGCTGAGACCTAGAAATAATTAGGTGAGGTTAAGCTTATAATCAATCAGTCAACTAGCATTAATTAAGTGCTAACTATGTGTGATGAATTACAACAAGCAATGATAATATAACAATAAAAATAACGGGGGAGACAACACACACATATAAATACATATATATACACACACACACATACATATATATATATAAAATGAGTATATACATATATAATGAGTACATATGGAATCTGTAAAAAATAAATAAATAAATACAAGGTGGTTTTTCGAGGGCATACCCTACTAACTAGGGAGACCAAGAAATGCTTCTTGAAGAAGGTGGCAAAACCATTTGGGAAACTAGTTAAAACCTGAAAACAGTTCTCAGGAACAACTCTAAAGGACAAAATGCACTAGAAAAAGAAACCAGTTGCTTTCAGTCAACAAGCTATCAGGAAACAGAAAAGAGAAAAAGAGGAACAGTTTTTTCTTAGTTTTAAAACATTTTAAACTCAGCCACTCCATCCCAAATTCTGTGCCCATTACCCCTTGTGGCAGTCTAAAAGTCTGTACCCCCAGTCTCCTATGACACTGAATCATTCTCCCTACCTGCTGTCCTGGTTCATCCAATTCTCTCTCCAAATCTTCCAGTAGCATCACTACTTCCTCACCACTTTCTGGATGTCGTTCCTGCAACCAGATCTGGAGTTCCTCTGGTAGGATACTCAGGAACTGCTCCAGCACCAGCAGTTCCAAGATCTCCTCCTTAGTGTGCATCTCTGGCCTCAGCCACTCACAACAGAGTGTCCGCAATCGGCTCAGAGCCTCTCGGGGCCCAGGTGTCTCCTGGTAGCACAACTGCCTGAAGCGCTGCCGCCAGATCTCCTGGTTGGGGTGACTACTACTTTGCTGACTAGATTCTTGCTCCCAGGTAGGATCATCTTCCACTTTGATTATTATAGGCCCATCCTGATCCTGTAGAGCCTGGGGAGAAAGGATGGCAGTCTCTTTGGATTCTGCAGTCATCATACAGGCTCACAGGGTGGTCTCCCTCCAGACAGGATCTGTGCTGCAAATCCCAATTGTCTTTTAGGCACCTAGAGATTCCTGATGAGTTTCTCTTTATGATATTCTTTAAGAAAAAGAAATTGTTATTACTGAAGGATAGCTGTCATTTATATAGTGTATGCCCACATCCCAACCCCAGTCCTCCCACACATAAATACATGACCTTACTTTAGCCTCAAAAACAATTCTGTGAGGCAATACTGACTTCTATTCTCTTTGAAGTTGCTACAAGTTCAATTCAAAATGTATTAAATGCCTCTCATGTGCAAAGTACTCTGCTAGTTGCTGGGATATAAAGATAAATGAAAAAAGTCTCTACCACGAAGGAGCTTGTGTTCTACTGAGAGATACAGCCTACCAGCAGATAAAATACAAGGAGGAAGAAGAAATCATTACCAAGGAGGACGAAGGAAGAAGAAATCATTAACAAGGAAGAGGGCCACAGTAGGCTTTATGGAGGAGGGAGGCCTTGAGCTGAACCTTGAAAGAAGTTAAAGATTCTAAGATATAGAAGTGAAGGAAGCACACACCTCAGGCATGGCGGCACCTCTGTAGAGGTACAGGAAGGAAGATGGAATGCCAAGCTCAGTGAAGAACAAGGAGCCCAATTTGGCTAGAAGACAGATTGTGTAAAGTGGGTAATGTTTATCTTAGAAGCAACAGGGATCTGCTGGAAATTTTTGAGTGGTCAGCACTGGGCTTTATTTAAGAATATTACTTCAGTAGCTTTTAAGGAGAATATATTTTAGAGACAGCTAAGACCAGAAGGAACAAGTGGAAGGAATGACCTTCCAATTAGGAAGCTACTGCAGTAGTCCAAGAAGAGATGGTAAAGGCCTCACCTAACGTAGAGCAGAAAGAAGAATGGCATGAACTGACAATTAACTGGACTTTGTAAAGAAATAAGGTGAAGGAAAGAGAAGAGGCAAGGATGACTCAGAGTTTACAAATCATGAAGACTAGAAGAATGGTGGTGCCCTTAACATCAACAGGGAAGTTCTGAGAAATACCTGCTCTGAAAGTGTTGTATGAAAAACTTTTATGGCTTATATTAAAGAGATAGAAAATATATTAGGGCTTCAGACTTTGAGCTTTCACAAGCTTTCCTTAACCTAACTGGAGATATCCAAATGTTAAAAAAAAAATCAAAGCAGGGTTAAGAAAGACTGCTGAAATACCCTGTGCTAGCACATGGTAGTATATAGGCAGAGTGCCAGGACTATTCACTGAAATCAACATTTGTTAGTGGTCTTGACAATGTGATAAGAGAGTCAAGTTACTTAAACAAGGATACAAATAATTTGTGATACTTGCTTTACTAAAATACAAATGGAAGAACATTAACAATCTCTGAGCTAAAATTATCAATAACCCAAAGAACAATGAAAAGTCACATAATAGGTGTCACAGACACAGTGCAGCATGTTACCAGTAACAATTTTAATGACAAGTAGAATAAATGACGCTTTAGAAGATGTTTGCAAAAGAAGTTCCATTCTAACTATGCATCCATTAAGATGCAAGGGAACAAATACTTTCAGCATTTGGAAGATCCTCTATAAAGATTTAAAGGAAGAGAAGGACAAGAATTATTCATGATAAGGCATGCCCACACTGATGAAATTAGAATCTATCAAGGTATCTTTGGAGAATGGTGAGAATGTTTAAGTCATGTAGAAGAGCAGTCCAGGATCACACAGCTAAAAGAGTCCTTAGAGGTCAACTAGTCCAAACTCATTTATTTTACAGATGAGGAAAATAAGTAAATGACTTGTTCAAGGTTGGTTAAGTGTTGGGAAGATAGGAAGGAACCAGGATTCAACAACATTCAGAACGTTAGCATTGGATGACATCTCAGAGGCAGCACTATAATTAATTCATTTTGTGCCCAAGATAAGAATATACAATTGTACCACCTAATGCATGATTTGTTCAGTACAGTATTTTCACATTTCTAACTCAGAAAAAAACCTCACTAGCCATCTAGTTCAACTTATACTTGAAAAAGAATCTTTCATATACAACCGTCAACTAATCACACAGCCTCTGCTTAAAGACCTCAAATGTGGGGCAACTCACTATCTCTAACACAGCCTATGTCACTTATGGGTAGCTCTAAGTGATTGGAAAGGTTTTCCTGACTTTTGCCTCTTTGCAACTTCTACACTTTGCTTCTGGTTCTTCCATTTCCACACAACAACCCTTTAAATACCTGCACACAGCTACCATATTTCTCCTAAGTATTTTCCAGGCCTAAAATCCATAGTTCCTTCCACCAATCCTCATATGACATGAACTCAAGGCCACCATTCTGGAAGCCCTTCTCCAGACAATATCTGGTTACCAAAGTCTATTCTAAAATGGGTACTCAGAACCGAACACAAAATACACCCAAAGTTGCCTGATTAGGACAAATTACAATTAAGACTATGTCCTCCTTACATCTGGAAGCTATGCCTCCCTTAAAGGTTCCAAGACTGAACAAGCTTTTCTGGCAGTTATATCACACTGCTGACTCATGTTGAACTTGACGTTCTCCAAAACCCTTAAGTGTTTTCCAGATGAACTGCTGTCTAGTAAAAAATCAAGTTCTTGAATTTAAATATAAGATTTGACATAAATTTTTATCTTATTAGATTAATTTTCTAGTCTGTTAAGGTATTTCTGGATCCTGTCATCCAGTATCAGCTACCCCACCTAGTTTTTTGTCATCTATAAAACATATGCACCACAGATGCATATTATGTTCATTTTTTCTTCAAAACTTTTCTGCTTTGCATGCCAGAAACAAATGCTTCACTTGCCTCACCCTCCTTAGGACTCCAACCATTTGGTCCAATTTTTCCCGGACCAAGAATCATCCATAAGTAGTCATATAGCCTTCATTAAATACATGACCTTCTTTCTTGCCTTTTTGTTCACTTCATCTCATCAGCTCCTAGGAGTTCAATTACCATTTCTAAATAGATGATTCCCAGATCTTTACGTTTGGTCCTAGTCTCTCTTCTAAGCTACAGCTCCACATCACCAATACCTGCTTTTCCTCCTCTATTATGGCATTCCATTTCACTTCTCCATGTCTTTGCACTGGCTTCCCCATGCTTGGAACATTCTCCCTACTCATTTCCACCTCCTGTTTTTCTTTGGCTTCAAGACTCAGGTCAAATCTCACTTTCCAAAGGATGCCTTTCCAGTCCCCCAGCTGCTAGACTACCCTCCATTTACAATGCACAGATTTTGTATGTACCTAGTTACTTACAGCTGTACCTCTATTCGAATGTAAGCTCTTTGAGGGTGGGTTCTTTCTTTGTATACCCAGAACTTGGCTCCTGCCTGGCACAGTAAGTGTCTAATAAATCACTGCGGGCTGACCTCACTTCTCAATGGTCTTCCTGCCTTTAATCTTTCCCCACTCGACAACCAAGGTGAATTTTTAAAGGAAAGGTTTTACATATCACCCTCCCCCAAACTCCCATGAGCACCAGTGGCTCCCTATTACTTACCTCTAGGATCAAATACACTGTACAGCATAATGTGTGGGGTGGTAAAAAGAGAGAAAGGGCCTAGTGACAAATAAAGACAAGTGGCTTTGGTCGGCCACTTAGTTATGTGGGACTTCGGCTACGTCACTTCCTCTCTCCGGGCCTCAGTTTCCACATTTGTAAACCAACCCTCCCCTGAACCAGGTCCGCACTGTCTCCGAGGCTCAGAGGTATCCAGGAGCCCCGAGCCCGGGCCCAGAACCAGTGCCTGTTCGCTGGACAAGGGGGGTGTCTGTGTGTCTGGGGGGAAGGGTTCGGTGGGGGGGCACAACCTCCTCCTTCCCTCACTGCCCCTCCTCCCCTCCCCCGCCTCGCTCTCTGCTCTCGCGCGAGAGGAGGAGGAGGAAGGCCTTTTCCACCCGCCCCAGGCCAGTTTCGGGGACCGTAGGAGCTCAGAACCCACCCCCATCCCTCTTTCCCGGAACCCTAACCACTCACCAGCCCCAAACCGACCTCTCCAGAATCCTAGAGAACGGAACAATGCCGAGTTCACAAAGCCGGAAGTTTGGGACGAGAGATTCCCTCCCGAGGGCGCGAGGCAGACAGGCTTGCCCCTCTCTAGGACGGCTGGAGGACTCCACACCTCTATGGTACCCTCCGTTGGCCAGCTGGGAGCCAGGAGAAAGAAACCTGGAGGACTTCCCATTAGATTTGTTGACAAACTTAGTGGCCAAGACGTATTTCCTTTATTTCAGGGGTTCTTAACTTGGGGTCTGTGGGCTTGTATTTTAATCTTAAACACTTATTTGTTTCAGCTAACATTTGTGATCACTCTCTCACGCCTCTCCTTGAACGATTTTTAAAACCCTCAAACAGGCATGGTCCTGCAGAATAAATGCCCCCCAAGGCATGTCTCCTCCGGGTTGTTGAGCCCATCACATTGCTGGCAGGAGGCGGGTGGTATGAATCACCGTTTATCATTGTTTTAATCAGAATTCTAAATTAGTTTTTTCAAAATTGTTTTTCTCTGTAATGTTGTTTTGTTGTGTAAATTGTCCTCTTAGTTCTGCTTACTTCATTCTGCATCAGATCATAGAGATTTTCCTAGTTTCTTCAGAAAATGTCCATTTCATATATTATGGCATGATAATATTCCATTATGTTACAATACCAAGATTTGTTTAGCTATTCCCACGATAGTTGGCACCCCCTTCGTTTCCAGTTTTTGGCTACTATGAAAAAAACTGCTATAAACATTTTTGTACATTGTACATTTTGTACATTGGGGACCTTTTTCTTTTCCTTTGAACTCTTCTGGGGTCTAGATTTAGTAGTGATATGACTGGGTCAAAGGGCATGGACAGTTTAACTTTGTGAGCATGGTTCCAAATTGCTTGCAAGAATAACTAAATGCATTCAACTCACAGCTCTGTTAGCAGTGTATTAATAAGCCTAGTCCCTCAAACATTTATCATTTTCCTCTTTTGTTATTGCACATCTAATGAGCATAAAGTGGAACCTGAGAGTTGCTTTGAATTGCATTTCACTAATTATTACTCATTTGGAGCTTGTTTATGGTTATTGATAGCTAGGATGTCTTCCTTTGAAAACTGCTTGTTCCTATTCTTTGACTATTTATCTAATGGGGAATGTCTCTTAATCATATGGGTGTTCTGTCTGGTCCAACACTTGGTGAACTCTTTTTGTCCTACAAGTGAAGCAGAATTGCAGCAGCTCAAAATAAATGCAAGATGCGAAAATTTAGAGGTGGCTCCACTCCAGATACTCAAATGAACTATTTGTGCCCAACCTGTGAGAGAGCATTCTGAGCTCTTCTTGGTCTGGTCAGCCACAGTTGGACACATTGTATCTTGACTCCAACATATCCATGTCATTGATCCTCTTCCAGAACTAAAGACAACAACCAGCCAACCAAAGGGGTTATGTGTATTCAGTCCTGTCCAACTCTTCGTGACCCCGTTTGGGGTTTTCTTGGCGAAGATACTGGAGTGGTTTGCCATTTCCTTCTTCATCTCATTTTATAGATGACGAAATTGAGGCAAACAGGGTTAAGTAACTTGTCCAGAGTCATACAGCTATTAAGTGTTTGAGGCCAGATTTGAACAATTGGGTTTTTTCCTCTTTTCATCTCCATCTCATAGAATCTCTAACTTCCTTCAAGATACAATTTAAGTACCCCCTTTGAGATGACACATTTCCTGATCCTCTCAATTGCTAGGGCCATCCTTCCCTTATAGCTAACTAGTTTGAATTTATTCTCTTTTTATTATATATATATATATATATATATATATACATATACATATATAAATATATATATATACACACACATATATATACATACACACACATATATTTCTCCATTAAAATGTAAGCTTGTTGAAAGTAGAGATTGTTTTATTCTTTGTTTTTATATTCTAGTCCTTAACACAGTGCCTGACACATAATAAATACCTTACTGTAGTCCCTTAACAAAGTGGCGTTAATAAACAAGTAGTTTAATAATAGACAAGTAGTAACTTGTTGATTGGCTGCCAGTTTTACAAATGAGGAAATCAAGACTCAGAGAGCTCATCATCACATAATCAGTAAGTGTCCTAGGTGACATCTGACCCCAGGGGTTCTTGATTATAACTCTTATGTGCTATCCATCTTGCCATATTGAGTCTCCAAAATAATGTAGTACAAACTTTTTAAAATGCTAAAGGAATACAAAATAAAGGAGCCAGTTGAATGTAAGACCCTCGAGAAAACGGATTTTGTCTTTTGTATTCCTAGGGCCTGGCACATAGTCAGCCTAGATTATTCTTAAGGTTCCTTCCAGTTCTGTGATTCTACAATCTACTGCAAATGGATACAGACTGGTAAAGAACACAAGAAGTCATGATCAACACTGTTATACTCTCCTAGGAGTTGTGAGGAGGACACTTTTACCAGAATAGCAAACATATTATGAAACAAGGCTAGAAACGACGGCTGGAGATAGAACATGGAAGACCTTGAATGCCAGGATGAGGAGTTTGCATTTAAGTGCACCTATACATGAGGATTAGCATTTTAAAGGAATATTGCCTTCCTTTGAGATTGACAAGAAGGAAGAGACAATAGAGTGAGGCCTAGAGAGGTTTAGAAAAGTGTGTGTGTGGGGGAAGCTAAAGTTCAATTAATGTGTAGGTAGCCTCATAAAGATTTTGTATACATGGGAAACATGTAAGAGTATACAGTTTGGTAGCTGTTGGTGTTCTCTTGGTTGCTTTTTTTAAATGTCAATAAAGCCTATGATTTCTTCCATGCCTTTGGTATTTTCTTCAGATACCTTTTGAACTGATCCTCAGTGTACTCACAATTATGTCACCTCCAGCATGGATTTTTTATATACACATGCACACATAAATATACATATATATGTACATATACATATATATGTATATGTGTACATACACATATATAATCATGGTTCAGTTTTGCTGTTTTTTCCCTGGCTTTGTTCTCTGTAATGCCATTTCTATTGCCCCTAGAAGCTTGTCCAGAATTATGGAGTCAGAGTCTATAGGGGGTGGCACCGTTGTCTTTGATGTTGAAAACAGCTTGGTATAAAAATTTTTCCAAATCTTTTCCATTTTTCTCCTGTTTATATTACTCTTACCAGTTTTTATCCTTTAATTTCCTAAGGATAGCTTTCCCTCCACTGCTTTTCTCTGCTTTGTCATTGACTATAATACCCTGTTCCAATAATTAGCCCATTTTAAGCAGAGGGCAATGAAATGGCTCCTAAGATCAACTTGGTTCTGTACCCTTTGGCTTTAGGATTTTTTTTTTAATGAAATGTCCCAAGTTCAGTGACAATGGCTCTGAGCACCGAGTTAGGACAATACCTAACACCTAGGTTCTTTGCCTAGCCTTACCTTTGTATTGCTTTTTATATTAACCCTGGCCTTTTTCATTGTTAAGACTAAACTCTGTTTACTAGAAATTTGGGTAATGAAATATCAGATTATATTATAGTGTCTGTAAATAGAGAACTTGACAGGCATCAGGAGAAGTTGGAGGAATGCCTGACCTGTTCTTCATACTTTCCTCAACCTGGGTCTTCCACTCCAAGATACCTACAGAGCCAATGACTCTCTTTGATATCTCATTATCTCTGCCACAGTTTTTCAACTGAATTATTCTCTCCAAAGTTATTGCTTTTCTCTTAATTGCCAACCTAAGGACCTTTTCTTTTTTTTTCTTTTTTCTTATTTTCTTTTCTTTTTTTTTATTTTTTGGGGGCCTTTTCTAAATCTTCGTTCTCCCTGACTTCTCTGCATCCTTTGATATTGTTGATCACCTTCCCCTCCTTGACACTCTCTTCTATCTAGGTTTTTGTGACACTACTCTCTTCTGGCTCCCTTACTACTTATCTGACCACTTCTTTTCAGTCTCCTTTACTGGATCTAAATCCAGAGCATGCCTGCTAACTGTAAATGTCCCACAGGCCTTTGTCCTGGGCCCTTTTCTTCTTCTCTAGAGGCTTCAAACTTGTGGCGAGGAGGTTACAAGCAGTCTATAAAACTAAGTCTGAACCAGATTAAAATGTAATTGCAAAATACTTAAAATTAATAAAAATACAACATAAAATATAACATTAATTTGTGCTTTACTAAGTCAATATGCAGCCAGAAGGGATTCCTTTGTATCTTACTTTAACACCATTGCTTTATACTGTTTTACTTGGTGATCTCATCAACCCTCATGGTTTCAACTATCATTTCTATGCAAATGATTTTCAGGTTTTTTACTCAGCTCTCCCCTCTTTCCGGACTTGCATCTCCACCTGTCTTTTGGACATTTGAACTAGATGGACATTTTAAATTCAATATGTCCAAAACAAAAATTCATTATTTTCCTCTCCAAACATTCTCCTCTTCTGAACTTCCCTGTTACTATTTGAGAGTATTTGTTGTTAATCATTCCTTTTCCAAGAAGACCAATGACACCATGATGTGATGATGGGTGATGCCTTGACTTGCAGGTGAATTGGATTTAAGTGAGGCAGAATTTCGAAAAGTTAACAACTTTCCACAACTCTGCCTCAGAGATTGGGTGAAGGAAGGGAATTAAAGATACTGACTCATGTTTTTGTAGATTTGATAAAGTTCATTGTATACTTTAGATATGAGACCTTTATTTGATAAATTTTCTATAAAATTTCCCCCAATTTTGTTTTCATTCTAATCTTGGCTATATTTGCATTAATAGAAATCCTTTTAAACTTAATGTAATCAAAATTATCCATTTTACACCTAATT